TAAAGATTATAATAAACTATTTGCTAAAAATGATCAATAAATATTTAAATATCAACTTCTAAAGATTATAATAAACTATATATGAAGACTTTTTTATGAATGATTTTAGATTCAATTAATGCATACAGTCATCATTGACATGTCAAAAAAATCCATGTAAGCATTCCACATGTCAAGCTCTGGTGATCCGAGTCTGAAATATTTTATTAAAGGATTTTCGTTGGTTTACTTGGATATTACGTGGCGTGCTGACATGTTTATTAGAATTCCAAATTATATTAAAGGATTAAGTAAAACTCTTCAATAGAGCTGAGTTTTGGAATAGCGTTAGATATTAGCGTTAGCGTTTTGGATAAAACTTTAACGGTGTAGATTATTTTAAAAACGCTACCTGTAGATAGCCTTTCCAAAACGCTAACGCTAATCTCCAACTTATCCACCAGTGTGTGATAGTAATTTTAATTCTCTTTTTGTTAATTTACTACTTCCTTAGTCTTAAAATTAACTTCCCATTTGACTTTTTACGGTCTTCAATGCGGCACTTTGACCATCAATATCTCAATTTTTATATAAATATATATTATAAAAATTATATATTTCAAAACTATGTTTCAAAATGAATCTATTGCTAATAAATTTATATGAAAATTAGATCTATTTTTCCCGTAATATATAGTCAAAGTTTAAAAAATTTGACTACAAAAGTCAAACTGAGAAGTTAATTTTAGGACGGAGGTTGTATTAATGTAATGTTTCACACGAGTCTGTATATAGTCTAAAAAAATTTAAATTCTAATAAAAGTTTATTTCAATTTTAGTATGTATTTCTATTTATTTTAGTTTTGCTACTAATGCATATTGTATGTTCATATAAATATAAGTGTGTCTCTAAATCACAAACACATAAGGTTTGTGTTAGTCTGGTGTACAAATATAGTACCCGATTTTGGTATACTTCTAGCATGAACCTTCAATTATTTTTACATTGTCTCTTATTTTCTCAATCACTAATTCTTTACTATCTCTTTTACTTATTAAATTACTTATAAACTCCCTTTAACCTTTTTACTTTTTAATCTTCACAAAGAGTCGAGCTCTGTGCCCTTTGGCAATGTAGCCATTCACCGATCTTGGAGGGGACAGGAGGCTGCGGTGGACAAGAGGCTAATGGGTTATGAATAAAATAATCAAATTTTACAAATCGAGCTCTATTAGAGAATTGGTCAGTTGGATCATGCTATGACATTCCAATCGAATATCATATGAATTGTGCTGTAGTAGTAGTAGTAATAATAATAATAATAATAATAATAATAATAATAATAATAAGAATAATAATAATAATAATAATAATAATAATATGGAAAAGAGTAATGCTAGAGTCACAAATAGCTTGGACACAAATTACACAAACTTGCTATTTGTGCACTTTTCCAAGTGAATAAAATGATTTTAAATAATTTAAAAATAAAATTTAAAAACACAAATGGCAAGTGTGTGAAGTTTGTGACTCGAGCATTACTCTTTTCAAAGTATTAAATAAAAAAATCTAATAAAACTATTTTGTATAAAAATCTAATAACAATTTTATTTAATCAGTGGTCAAGTTCTTAATTTTGATTGTAAAATGTTAAAATTGAATAAATATTCAAAGACGGCACTGGATCAGAGCTACTAATATAAATCTAATTAATCTATATATAATACGGAGTATCATTTAATTTATCATGAATAAATTTGATAAATGGTCCCCAATTATATGCAGTTTTCCATATTTAGTCTCCAATTATAAGATATTCCATAAATAGTTCTCAATTTTTGAAAAACTATTCCACAAATAGTCCTTTTCACCAAATATGACAATATTTTGAGTAAATTCTCAAAATGGTCCTTTCTAATAGTATTTTTTCCCGAAGTAATTCTCAATAAGCAAAAATTACTAACGTGGTCTTTTATAATTGAGGTGTGTTTTCTAAATTGTCCTTTATAAAAATGCTTATTAGGTGATAGTTAAATAGAAGATAATTTGATGCTCTTTATTATCTAAACTATGAATAAGTCTTATTTAACTGTCATTTAATAAAGGGCATCGCCATCAAAATACTATCTATTTAACTATCATTTAAAAAGCATTTTTTATAAAGAGCTATTTTGGAAACACATCTCAATTATAAAAGACCACGTTATTAATTTTTGCTTATTGAGAATTACTTTGAAAAAAACTTTATTAGAAAGGACCATTTTAAGAATTTACTCAAAATATTTTGTCATATTTGGTGAAAAAGACTATTTGTGGAATAATTTTCAAAATTGAGGACTATTTATGGAATATCTTATAATTAGGGACTAAATATGGAAAACTACATGTAATTGGGGATTATTTATGAAATTTAGTCTTTTATAATTATAGATCAAATGTAGAAAATAGTCGTTTTATAAAAAACTAAAACTTTGCAAATATTTAGGGATGTAATGAGATAATTTTTTTATCCACACTTTGGATTGAATGGTGGGGAGATGTATATTTGGGATACACTTTTTTGGTGTACTCTTAACATTTTTCTAAATTTTTTCAAAGATATCAAGAGTACACCAAGCAAAAACAGACACAAACTTCTTGTCTATGCACGCACAGACATTGATTGTCATTGATTGTCTGTGTCTGTCATTTTTTTGGTATACAAACTGAGTATCACATTTTAGTGTGTATTATAGCATTGTTTCTCTTTCCTAATTATAATTTCTAGTTTATAATTATTTTGTGAACTTTTCAAACAATAATTGAGGCATCTCATTTGCAGACCAAGTCTTCATCACATCGCAATGTCTGGGCATGTGAGATATTACGCGTCTGTGTGTATTTCTGAGGTTTGGTGTAGAAAAGATATGTATGTCCTTCTAGATTAATTCTAAAACTTATGTGAATGAACTTATACAAGTACTTATTAGTGTCGTGGCAATTGCGCAGCAAATGCCAAATAGTCAAATTCACATAGCTACCAAAAAAACTCCCCTCCTATGAGTGAAAATTTTCAATAAAATTACCCAGTAAAACACAGGGTGAGACTGTGACAATCATTATCTCCGCCGTACAAGACTGTGACAATAAAATTACCCAGTAAAGTTAAACTTTAAATACTTGTTTTTACCTATTTGTTATTTAATAAAATAATATAGTCATGTCACTTCTTATTTTTGTAGAAATTTGGTAATTACTCCCGATATTATTTTTCATTAATGCCAAGGATCCAATATTTGGTGTGACCTTAGCGCTCTCCATATTTTTTGTTTTTCAAGGAATCAATAAAAAAAATTTAAGTTATTTCTCTGGAGAAGGTAGCATTTGGGAAGAGTAGAAGAGAAGTATATATACTCGGTTCGGTATGTATAAACAAACGTACGGTACCTGGGAGAGGCAGAAATGGCTACGATTTTGGTAAAAAGGTCAGGGCGGGCGACGGAGGCGATGGCGCCGATCATGGCGGAGACGGAGTGGCCGACGTAGACGCACGACGGCACCCGGAGCTCCTCAAGTATCGCGATCACGTCGTAGGCGTAGCCCTCGAGGGTCGCGTAGCGGTCGAAGTCAAAGTAGTCCGGGTTGGTGGTCCCGGCGCCCATGTTGTCGAACACGACCACCTTATACTCCTCCACCAGGTGCGGTATCAGGTGCTTCCACACGGACTGGTCCGTCCCGAACCCGTGGGCTAGGACCACGGCCCGCTCCCCCGAGCCCAGAACCCTCACGTTGTGGGCTTCCTCCACGATTCCCATACCGCCGGGCGCCGCCCTCCGGTGATCCCCGGCCCCCTGTCCTAGCTCAGCTAGCTAGTCTTGGGTGGCTTAATTTTGTGGAGGTGGAACTTGAAGATGATGTTATTTGGGCGATGAATATAGTTAGTTGGATGGGGACAGGAGTTAGCTAGGGGAGGATAATATGATAACTTTGCAACCACATAGGTGTTGTGAAATTCAATTGCCTCGTGGCCCGTTTTGATACTCTCCTTTGCAAGTTGCAAGCTAAGGATTGTGTTTCGAAGAACAAACAAACAAAAGAGGAACGAACCACTTTGTTGACTCCATTACCCCTTTAATTAATTTCAAGGCGTGATTAGGATTAATATTCGATTTTGATTCCTTATAATTGCCTGAGAGGTCATAAGATGAGGATAGGGCCTCTGTATATATATATATATCTAACAAATGCATGCTCGAGTCTCTATTCCGGAATATTATTACTCCGTACGAGATTAAAATCTAATTTACTTCATTTCAAGTGACCGTCGACTGACTTTTAGACCCACAGAATTGGGGTTTTTTTCTTCTTATTATTTAGAAAATACTATTTTAATCTCAACATTTGAATCCCTAATGTTTAATCTCATCTTTAGATCAGATACATTACAGATATTTGATACGATTCTGTGTCTGTAACCTCTATAAAATTGGAGTTAAATTTTGAGGTTTAAATATTGGTGTCAATCAAATATTACCTTATTAACTACAGAGTACAACCTTATTTGGCGAGTGGGTGAAATGATTAGAAGCCAAACCAAGACTACCTAGTACCTAGAAATTTAAAGCCATGGAACGAATGAGTAATAGTCATAAGTGTGGTATTACACCCAAGTGACCCAACCAAAGGTAAACAAATACTCCCTCCGTCCTTAAATAAACTTCCATTTTTGACTTTTTGAGGATTAAAAAGAGGAATATTTTAGTGTTGACTTTCCAAAAATACCCTTGATGTGATGTGTAAAAGTAAGATGTAATAGGTAGATTATTAGTAAAAAAATATGATGTGATAGACAGTGTATGAAAAGAGAAGTTTATTTGGGGACAAAGAAAAAACGAAAAGAAAGTTTATTTAAGGACAGAGGGAGTAACAATAATGTTAGGATAACCATATGGAAAATAAGCCATCCGTGGGTTGGGCTACGGTTTGGGGTAAGGAGGGGTAGGGTCGTCATCCGTGGCGTCAAGAAATTTTAAATCGTCTGGAGTGAGAGGGTGACCATATGGAAAATTAGACTCGTCAAAAATGACATGGCGGGAGATTATAAGTTTGTTAGTTTGAAGATCCAAGCAGCGGTAGCCGCGTTGGTTGGAGGGATAACCGAGAAAAATGCAGCGAGCTGAGCGTGAAGCTAATTTGTTATGAGTGGTGGCGGAGATGTTAGGATAGCAAAGACAACCAAAAACACGGAGATGGGAGTACGAGGGCGGTGAGTTGTAAAGGGTAGCATGGGGGGTGTTGTTATTTAAAGTGGTGGTGGGAAGGAGGTTAAAAATGTGGCGGCCATGTGAAGGGCCTCAACCCAAAATTCAGGAGGGAGTTGGGCTTGGAAAAGGAGGGATCGAACGGTGTTGTTAAGGGTGCGGAGGGTGCGCTCAGCTCGACTGTTTTGTTGACTGGTGTGGGGACAAGAAAATCTAAAAAGAATGCCTAAGGAGTCAAAAATGTTTTTAAGGGGAGAGTTACGAAATTCAGTTCCATTATCACATTGTACAGATTTTATTGTCGTGTTAAAATGATTTTTGATATATGCTATAAAAGTGGTTAAATGATTAAAAGCATCACTCTTGTGTCGCAAAGAAAATACCCATAAATAATGCGAAAAATCATCCAATAATATCATGTAAAATTTAAAGCCAGTTATACTGGGTACAGGAGATTCCCATAAGTCTGAATGTAAAAGTTGAAAAGGAAAAGTAGAAACACGACTAGATGAAGAAAAGGGAGGCGCACATGCTTTCCCAACTGACAGGCGTGACATAAAGTATGTTGATAGTTCTTAAAAGTAGAGATATAAGGGACGCCACGGAGGACAGCCGGGCTTGGGTGACCAAGGCGCCTGTGCCAAATCTGAGGATCGACAGCGGCGACATTGGCTTGTGCGGTGATGGTGCGTCCTACAGGGTAGAGAGGTCACATATCATTGGATCGATGCATCACGGTTCCCGTCTGACGATCCTTCACAGAAAAATCATGAGCATCAAATTCAACAGTACAGTTATTATCACGGGTAAGTTGACGGACAGAGATAAGGTTGTGAGTGATGTGGGGGGAGACTAAGATATGTTTGAGGGATAGGGGAGGGGTGGTGGGTATGGTGTGGCTTCCAACAGCCGTAGTGCAAACCTTAGATCCATTACCGATAGTGATATATAATGGTGAACATAATGATTGTGAAGAAGAAACATAAGAAAGAGTACCTGGGTCGGAGGCGATGTGATGGGAGGCGTCGGTGTCCATAAACCAGGTAGGCTCACGGAGAGACATGGTGTCAAATTGATGGGCCAAAGCAGTGGGGGTGGGGGGGGTGGAGTTTGCGGGTGTGGGACCCGCTGACAGGGGTGGGGAGGTAGGGAGATGTTACGGGTGGGGTGGGGGGGTAGTGTGGGGGGTAGGCATATGGATTGGGGGTGGGGTGGAGGTGTAGTAGGCTTGGGCATGGTAAGGGTGGGGGTAGACATGGGACGTGGGCCCAATAGGCCCGGGTTATGGTTTGGGTGAGGTGAGTTCCAGGCGTTGGGTCCGTCGGGATAAGTCTGTTGCCTCGAGCTGCTTTGTCGTCCACGACCTCTACCTCGAGAGCCGTTGCCTCGCCCGCCGCCGCGTCCGTAGCCGTTGCGTTGTTCGAAGGAGCTGCCCTCACCGTAGCTGCCGCCGTGCTGGAGCCCGCCGCCATGGAAGCTGTCACCGCTGCTGCCGCCGTGCTGGCCCCCCCTTCCCGCTGCCGCCGCTGGATGGTTGCCGACTGCCGTTGTTGGCGCCGGGCTGACCGGCGAGAAGAGCCGTGCTACCGGTGGCCATGGGAGACCGCTGCCGGTCCAATAACATGAGAGCGGAGCGGGCTTGTAGAAAAGTGGGCAGCGGATCCTGAAATTGAAGAAAAGATGTCTGGGCCTGCAGATCCGCGGGGAGACCACGAAGCATCTGAAGAACAAGTTGGTGCTGGGACACCGGGGCATCAACATCGTCTAGCCAATCGGCAAGATTTTGCAGATGTTGACAATAGGCCGCCATGGTTATGTTGCCTTTGACGGTGGTGCGGAACTCGTGTTCTAGTTGCATGGCACGAGCGTTCTTGTTGTCGTGAAACAGATCGTGAATAACCTTCCAGAGAGCAGAAGCGGTGGAGACAGAGGAGATAACCAGATCGGAGACTTCGTCGGAGATGGTGGACAGAATCCATCCGTGGAGGAGAGCGTCAAGTTGGAGCCATTCATCGTCGTCTTCAGAGAGGGGGACGACAGAGCCGTTGATGTAGTCTTGGAGATTGAATCGGCGAACCAGGAGGAGAAAGAGGCAACTCCACTTTTTGTAGTTCGGTTGAGAGAGGCTGAGAAGAACCGGAACATGGAGTTTGACGTTGGAGATCGTCGTGAAAGCTAGATGAGGAGTCTTTGCCAGGGTGGCGTTGGTGTTGGAGGTGACCTCGTTGTCGGCCATTGGAGAGAAGAGAGCCGGCGACGAAGGGAGGAGAGGAGGAGAGGGGCTGCTGCCGGCGACGAGAGGGAGAGGCGGCGCTGCCGCTGGAACTGCCGAGAGGGAGAGGGAGAGCCGAGAGGTAGGGTTAGGGTTTCTTTTTTTGTTTAATTAGGCTCCGATACCATGAAGAATAATGGTTTTCATTGATTGAATAGGTTGTGGTTACATGTATATATATAAGAGAAGTCTCAATCCTAAACAAGGTAGGAGAGACACAAGTAAGGAAACATATACAAATAAGGTAAGAGAATAATACAATATATTAAATATATACAATATATTTAACAATAACACTAAAATGTGTATTCCATATGTAAACTAAATAATAATAATGAAGAGGGTCGGTCCTGAATACTCGATGGCCTGGGCGGAGATAGAAAAAGATACCCTAAAGGTCTTATTTCTAATATCTTAACGGATTTAAGTGCATAAGCTAATTATATTTAAATAAATAAATGACATACAATATTATAATATAGAGTTTATAAAAATTTACCTTCCCAAATAATTGTCTAAAAAATTGACCAGACGTCGACTCGGACAAGCTGATGGGTCAATGATTAACATATCAATTCAAGGGTCAACGGTTCAGTTAACTATAATTAAAATAATAATATATTATTTTATATTATTAGATATTAGATTTGTGTTTTTCACTCTTCAACTAATTAATTTTCAATATCATCTTGCATATGCCGTCACAAAATTTATTAAACAAGTATATTAGATACTAGTTGTGTTTTTTTCTAAATAAGTATAAGTTTTATTCAATCAATAAATTAAACATATATTACATTATGCGCAAAATATGGCACAACAAGATAGGTAGCTCAAGTGGGTGGAGAACTTTGTGATAAACCATCCCAATTGGCTCAAACCGCATCTAGGCCAATGCAATTTTAGTTTTATTACACAAGAATACTACATATATATGTATAATATAAAAAGTTGGCATGCATTATTTTCCCATTTACCCAACATATTGTCTCGACTGGATAACACCGAGTAGTGTATTTAACTACTCTAGGCCAATGCGATTTTAGTTTTATTACACAAGAATACTACATATATATGTATAATATACAAAGTTGGCATGCATTATTTTCCCCTTTATCCAACATATTCCCCTTTATCTCAAATAATTTTACTTTTTCATATTTTTTTCAAAAATAATTTTATTTTTCACTGTCATCGAAAATAATCTCACATTTTTACATGTGTGCGAGTTTTGAGCTGCCTTTAAAGCCGTCATTACATAGCTAACGGTCACATAATAATTTTTTTTGAAAATGTTTTTTTACAAGTAAATAAAAGATGAGATTATTTTAAGCAAATTTACTTTTTTTAAATTTAATTTTTAAACTTTATATATTAAAAAATATAACAGTAGTTTGTCTCAATTCTTGAAGGGGCTCAACCTTTAGATGTATTTTTTTAAATATGCACTCCTAGTCTCCTATATTACATTTTTTTAAAATTTGCCCATATTTTTAAATAAATTGAATTGAAAAATAATCTAAGTCAAATACCACAAATCAAAACACACTCTAAAATAGAAAGTTTTATTTATCCATTTTTATTAATCGTTTGATAAAATAATATAACTATGTCACCTCATATTTTAAAATCTTTTGATATAATTTCTAAATATATATTCGTATATTATATTTTTTAATTGAAAAAATTATCTCAAATAATCTTACCTTTTCACATTTTTTTCAAAAATAATCTCATTTTTCAATGTCATAAAAAATAATCTCACATTTTCACAAGTGTGCAAGTTTTGAGCCGCCATTGCATAGCTAACGGCCATATAATAAATATTTTTGAAAATGTTTGTTTTTCACAAATAAATAAAAGGCGAAATTATTTTAAGCAAATTTACTTTTTTTTTATATTTTAATTTTAAACTTTATATTTTAAAAAATATAACAATACACTTTTGTTAAGGATTTGTCTCAATTCTTGAAGGGGCTTTAGATGTATTTTTTAAATATGCACTCGTAGTCCACTATATTACATTTTTTAAATTTCGCCCATATTATTATATAAATTGAATTGAAAAATAATCTAAGTCAAATATTAAAAATCAAAACACACTCTAAAATAGGGATTAGGGAGTATGATGCAATTTGTTTTGATATTATATTCTAACAATTGGACAGTTTTTAGCACAATATATGTACGGCAGAGGTGTTTTTGAAAACCACAAAACACATTTGTAAAAAGTACAGTAGTAGGCATTCCCAACCCAGCCAAACGCCAGTCCAGATTCTTCAAAAAAAATTGACAAAAAAGCCCATGTAATTGACTTGTTATTACTCCATGGTTGGCAACACATTTGACATTCCCTATACTCTTTAGCATAAAAATATTCAAAAAAATAAAATAAAATGAATCTTTACTTACCAGTTACCACCAGAATTGGAATATAAATGTCCATCAATGATCAACAAGGCTTATGAAACTGCATAAACATAGTGGGAAAGCACATTGTGTGTGGGTGTTCAAAAGGATGGCCCCGGCCGCGGTTCTCATTGCTACACAAATTTACCATCTTGAGTTTGTTTGTCTTGACCACACCCTAAAAGGAGGCCAAAACTTGCAATCCGATCTGTACTATGTAGGTCATAGGAAGACAAGAAATCAGAAAGAAACGTTGAGAAACGCCGATAAAATTCCAAAAGATTGGGTTGGACGCGCACTTGGCTCTTTATATATCTATGAAGACTGTCTGGTTTGGCTGTGATTATTCTTGGTTAGGCAATGAGGGGTTCAAATGGCTGTAAAAAGGGCACCAAGAGGAAGAAATAAACCCACCACCCCTAACATCATCAAATCCGACTAATGAACAAAGTAACACCCAATGATTAATTGCCGCTTTTGCTTTTGTTGGACGAACCGAATTCCTTGTTTTCCTAGTTCTACATTCTGGGTATCTCCGTCGTCAAGAGTGACAGCCACAATTGATATGCCTTCAAAGAATTCTGTTACTTTTCCTCCATGCCTGGAATACCAAGACAGAAAAAAGGAAAGAACAAGATTAAGAGAAGTGGAGTAAAACCCATAAGATTAAGAGAAGAACGTGGAATAAAACCCGTGGGAGGGTTTCTGATTTGACTAGAAACCTACCAGGTATTATCAGATTGGTGATGAACTTCTATTCTCTTCCTCACAGCATCTTTTCCCAACTTCTGGAGGATCCAATTAGCATCCATCGTCTCAGCCAGTGAATTATCTGCATACCGCCGTGGATCAGCAGTGGCTGATGAATTCACTCCAAAAAGTGATGGTCTTTTTCGTGTTGATCTTTGGCCCTTGATCACACCTTTCTCTTCCTTGGTAGATGCTCACTGATTCTGCACATCAGGGTACGGATTCTTGAATTTAAGCTTTACCAGTCTTTTAGGGTCCTTTTGCATGGAATGAGTGAGCGCATTATTTCCATCACCAACATGCAAAACACCAGGCTCCCCTCCTGCTTGTCTCATGGATGATACTTTGTTGCTTTGATTGGCAGGAAGCTGGGTCATAGCCCTTGCAGCAGCCATGCTAGCCTCATTGCCTCTTTTTCCCACAGATGACCCGTCGGTAGATTTTTGCCCAGTTGTGACAGTTGTTCAATCAACAATTTCAGTTCTAGGCTTTTTTTTATCTTTATCAAGGGAAGCTCTTTTCCCCCGGCCTTTTGACCTTGCGTTTGGTTGAGATGATCTTGGCTCATCATACAAGATGAATTCATCATGAGCATTATAATGGAAAGGGGCCATAAACAATTTTTTTAAAAAAAGTAATGACACCATCATGAGATTTTATAGATATTTATTACCTTTTCTACCTGCTGCTGCAATTTCATTCCTTTCTGTATGCTCATTCAGATTCTTTTGACCCATTTCCTCACCCCCTGTTGCGACGGGCACATGATGCAAAAAATGTCAGGAGTCAGGAAGGGAAACAGGTTCTTCTGAAACTTCATTTTGAACCACAATGTTGGTCTAAAATTACCTCAGTTTTCTCACTCACATATGGAATGAAAAATGATAATTCTTAGAGATATTCAAGACCATTTACAAAATTTTACTAATAATATGGTTCAGCATTAAAAAAACACTGAAAAGAAACTTTAAAACTCAATTAAGTGGTCTTCTTGCAAGCTATAGCCCAGATTTTGGCTCTACATAGTTCTTCCAAAAGATAACAAATGTACTGCAATAACATAAGTACTCCATCCATCCTTATATCCTATAGTTTGCTTCCCACCTTAGTGGGAATGCTTATTAAGAAAATGAAATTATGTGGTTGGTTTAGAAATGATTAGAAACAATGTGAACCACACAAATCTTTCCTTGAAAAGAAAATTTTATGCTTAGGCCCCATCTTATTCCACTGGGATATTACCTGCCCATGATTAGTCTCCAACTAGGCACTAAACCCTTAGCGGGTGCTTAGTTACTATTAACACTCATCAATTCTCAGACAAGTTAAAAAAGTGAATTGGAATTACAGAACTATAATGGCTAACTAAGCTAAAAACTTTAGGTCAATCCTATATGCTCCAAAATAAATAAATTAACAAATAAATGATACTCCGTAATAGCATGAAGGACCTACCATTTGAAGTAGGCAAGTATTGCTCCCTTTGATAACTGGAAACATCAGACTTAGGTGAACCAGATAGATTTTTATTCCATGCGCCCAAATGTATGACAGGCTTTGGTCCTTTGGTGGTCTTAGACATGCTTTTATGAGCTCCAACATCTTCATCACTGGCATTATGGTGCTTGTTGCCTTTTATCTTGACAGATGTCTTGTTTTCATTGTTACCAGCAACCATATCTATATATTCACTTTTCACAACCCCTGCCTGATTAGAAAAACATATTCCTTCTGTCAAGCTTCCAGCAATAGAATCAACTAGTACAATAGAAAGAGCAGAAATATTCCACCTATTTTCCTATTACAACAACAACCCAATTGATTTCCTACTAATTTGGTAAAAAGTTTACTTTAACTCTGTAGACATATATTAGCGCAATAACGTGCTTCAGAAAACTTGGACAGATGGAAAACAAAGAGAAGATATTTGCAGGACAGAGGGAGTATATGTTTTGGTTTCACTTCTAGCTTCAGCTTTTGGCTCTTCACCAAAGCACATTTTCTGACAATTGAGGGATGAATCTTTCTAGTCATAATTGCCTGCTAGAAGTGACACATAAACATTTTCTTAAATTCCTTAGTTCGCTTCCTCAAAAAAAAATCCTTAGTTGGCTCAAACTTCATAAAGAACAGAAGACTCAACTAAAACAAACCCAATACTTTTCATTCCAGAAACTCCCCTTTCATGCACAAATAATACTCCCTATTACAAAGTCAAAGCAAGTGCAGAACATTTTATTTGAGAATTTGTTTGGAAATCATTTTGGGAAAACATTTTCTGGAAAGTGAGTTTTTTTCCTGAAGACATTTTCCTTTTTTAGGCTGCGTTCCCCAAATCCTACTGTGGTATTTACTGGGTTATTGTGTTTAACATAAATAACAACAATAACAACCCAGTTGAATCCCACAAGAGTTGGGTCTGGGGAGGGTGTGTCTATGCAGACCTTACCCCTACTCGAAAGTAGAGAGGCTGTTTCCAAAGAGACCCCTGGCTCAACGTCGAGAGTTGCATTGATAGACTAACTGCTACTTCATTAATTAAAGAAGCGCAGACAGTTTAGAGATCAATTTTGCTTTATTCCATCACACCCCAAAGCCAAAAAATAGTGAATTTTTGGCTCCATCGGAGATGATGGAAAAGTGTTTAACATTAATAAATAAATTAAATGAGTATAAAAAAGATCTATAATAAATATGTTGAGTTTTGGCCAATCTTTTAATTCCTCCCACATTTTCTCTCATAATATAGTTTTTATATTTTCTCAATAGTAATTTCTAGGTACCAAATGGACCCTTAGCAGACATATTGAAAGAGCTAAGAACCTACTAGTATACTACTAACCACCCAGGGAGGGGTGTTCTCAACTACATTTTCATTAATGGCAGTAAATAAAAGTAATTAAGACAAAGTTCTTACTTTAGACAGTAGACAGAAACTCTTGGCTTTCGGGCGGCTGCTTGCTCGGGCTTTGTGGCAATATGACAGTCAGTAGTTTTGGTTTCTCATCACGGAACTGCCACATTGGTCCCTGAGGCACCAGACGTAAAAATATGGTTTTTCTGGAGGAAAATGAAGACAAAATCAGCAAAAAAAAATTACAAGAAAGTAAAACAAAAAAAAGGTTTGGAAACCATGAAAATGTACAATAGTCACCACTAATTAAATCAACAACATCATAACAGCATTATAACCCAGGCATAGCTAAGAATCTCAACAAGTTCTTGATGCATGATTCCCAAATTCCGTGTTCCAAAAAAAGCCAATATTTATTGGACCTTGTTGTTGAATTGCTCATAGCTCCTGCTAGACAAAAAGCCTTTGTTTGAATGGCTTCGCCAAGTTTGTTACAAATTTAGGAGGAGAGGATAGTGGCATACCTGTAAATAATCCACTTCAAGAACTGGCTTCCAGACTCATCAACAATAGATTGGGCTTGGGTTGGAATTTGAGCAGCAACTTCTTCATCCGACACTGAGTTGTTGCATATTCATCTTCATTCGTTGAGGTTTCTTATCATCTTCATGAAGCCAGTATACCAGCACATAGAAAACAGTCCCCTGGCAGTAAATCATTTATGAATACCCAAATGATGCATATAAAGAGAAGATTTGCAGCAGCCAGCAGGTTCTCTTTTGCTTGGAAAACTAACTACTTTAAATCAAATACTTTGAATTTCAAAAAGGAACCGGCACCCAAACTTAGATTAAGAATTAAAAGAAGTTTGATATACTATGACCACAAGCTTGAATATTGCTTCCTTAACTTTCAATACACAACTTTTTATGGGAAAAAAGGTACTCCTTACAAACTTAGCATTGATGGGAAAGTATTAGGAAATTTTAGGGTCATTTTGTTCTATATAAACAAAATAAGGATATATAATAATTCAGTCAAGTCGTAGTTGGGTCCGGATTAAACCGGGCTAGTTCTTATCTTTTTCGGGCCGCTCCCCGATCCAAAAAAGTGTCTTATTCGATCCAGTCAAGTGCACACCCCCATATAGTAGGGTTCTCAATTAATTTATCGATGTTTTTTTCTTTCGAAATTGTTATATCTTTGGTCCCTTTAGTTTTGCTTTTGGTCTTCCAAAATATATATGTTTTATTTAAATTGTCCATGTAAAATTATTATTTTTGTAAATAGTCTTTCTTTAATTTAAGTTTGTTTTTAGTTCTTATAAAAAAATTTATTCATTCTTTCTCTTTTTTAAATTATTTAATACTCCATAGAAGATTAACTTATTCTTTTTTAGTCATGATAGGCTTATTTTTTGAAACTTAATAGAGTAACTGCGTTGCTAACACTTTAGCTAAATTAATATCGGGATATTTTGTTAAAAATATCTTTATTATCATTACACAAACAATCACTCAAAAAAATATTACAGAAATAGCCCGAGATAGTGAGGGTAAAATTTTTTCTAAAATCATGAATTTGAGAAATCATACTAAGTATTACACTAAAAAATTGGTATTAATTTAACAAAATATTTGTTTACTAAAAAGTGAAGTATTAATCTAGAAATTTTAAATGAATTTGTAAAACTATAGTTATGAATTGAGTATTTAAAGATATATATATATATATATATATATATATATATATATATATATATATATATATATATATATCATTGACTTTGAAATTGTAATTAAGTAAATTTTGAGTAAAACTAATAAGATAATCCTTTCGAGTGTATAATAATATAAAAGTAATTGAATGAACAAAAAGAATTTTAAAGCGACTAAAAATGAAATTTATGAATTTTTCAAGGACCAAAGTAAATATTTAGATTAGGGGAGCACTATTTGCAAAAATATTAATTTTATATGGATGATTTAATTAAAAAATAACTTGGAAAGACTAATTAATCTTCTTTTTTTTCCCACTTGTTGCCTGTAAAATAATTATGGTTTGGGACTGTTAGTTTGCATTTATAGTATGTTTCTTCAATGAGAATTAACAAGATTGTTAAAGATATGAAAAGCATCAATCACTATGAGATTGAGTGTTAGAATTTGAGCATGTGAGGTAGGGTCGCTAATTGTGAGTCTCAAGGAACCAACTCAACCAAAAGCTCAAGATTTGTGGTTGTGGCCCAGAAACAATTATTTATACTCTAACACGCCCCCTCACGTGCATGCGTGGTTTTTTTTTTAGCCTTGCACGTGAAACCTTAATTTTTTTAAACTGGGTGGCACTGAGTTTCAAACCCGTGACTTCTTAGTCAACGAGGCTCTGATACCATGTCAAGGAACCAACTCAACCAAAAGCTCAAGCTTTGTGGTTGTGACCCAGAAACAATTATTTATACTCTAACAGTGAGTATTATGGTTACTAATGAAGCTTTTCATTAGCACATTCGTTACAAGAGCAATGCTATGGGTACACCAAAAGTGTACCCCATTTGTACACCACCTTCTTCTCCACCACCCATTTTAAATTAATTTTTATTTATTTTTTTTGATTTTCTTGCCTAATTATGTGGATAAGGAAGGGGTGGTGTACAAATAGGATACACCAAAGGTGTACCCCTAGCATTTTTCTCGTTACAATAGTACTCCGTACTTGCAAAAAGTGTTTCCTTCAGTGGATTTTTTTTACCCAAAATAGGCATAGTAGTACTCCGTACTCTAAAGTCAAAATTAACTTGGGTGTGCAATTGAAGGGGGTGGGAGTGCGTGTTCAGATCGGGGCGAGATGAAGGGGGTTTACAGGGGATTAGGGGGATGGGAACCGTCAATTTTACGAACGGGGCACCGGAGCACCCTGAGTGAACCAATGTCATGGGAACCAAGGTAGTTGATATATGCGGAGTAGTACTTACACAAGGACTAGAATGTCGGGTTGTGATTGACTCTTACAACTTAACGCACTCCGTACTCGTTCGATACCCTTCCACCTAGTCTCTTAGGTCTCGGGTTCTAAAATCCAACAGATATATTTTACTATTTTTACTCATATAGGGATGGCAATTCAACCCGAACCCGAGCTTAACCGACCCGACCGACCACTAAAATATCCGAACCCGAACCGAGAATAAAATAATCCGAACCCGACCCGAAATTTTTTACCCGAACCCGACATCGGGTCGGGTCGGGTGTGGATTTATAATTTTACCCGACCCGACTAAAACCCGAATATTTTATTACATAAAAGCCTATCTATGAATATAATAAGCACTCCGTATAATTTCTTGGCAAAGTGCTACTATATCAAGTATGTTTTTTATAATCATTTTTATAATTCCTTAATAAAAAATGAGACATAAAAGAGAGACATGAAAAAAATTAGATTTAATCATTTCAAAATTATTGGGATACGTCGAATTGATTATTGGTTAAAAGTCGGGTTCGGGTCGGGTTCGGGTTTCGGGTTGAAATGTCGGGTTCGGGTCGGGTCGGGTTTTTAGCTTAAAAGGTCGGGTTTCGGGTCGGGTTCGGGTTTCGGTTTTAAAAGTCGGGTTGGGTTCGGGTATAGTACTATCCGACCCGAACCCGACCCGTTGCCATCCCTATACTCATAAAAAGATATAATGTAACATTTTTGTACAACTAAATAGAAAATTGTAAAAATACATAGACTATAAATAATTCATAAATTATTTAGAACTTATACAAAATTTATTAAATTTTAAATCAAATACACATCTTTAATTAGAAAAAATCATTGTGGAAAAACACTTCATTATAAATGATCATTTTAAGAATTAATTCTAAATTTAGTAAATTAAAAATACCAAAATACCCCCAATTAATCCTCATATGAGTAACATTATTTACGAAAGACCATCTTGGGAATAAATCTTAATTATAAAGGACTACGTATATAATTAAAACTTATTGAAGACTGATTTAGGAAAACATCTTATTACAAATGACTATTTTGGAAAGACTAATTAATCATTTTTTTTTTCACTTCTTGCGTTTAAAAAAAGACACCCACATTGAAACTTTTTCAAAAGTCATTGGTGGGATAATAATTATGGTTTGGAACAGTTAATTTGCATTTATAGTATGTTTCTTCAATGAGAATTAACAAGATTGTTATATACCGAGTATATGAAAAGCATCAATCACTATGAGAATGAGTATTAAAATGAGAATTTTGCCTAAATAAGATTAAAATATAATGACTCCATTATATAAGATGATATGTTTTTATTTTTCAATGTAGGATCTTTATTTGGTCATTATCAAGTAGTCATTATTCAACTAAATGTCCATCATTATGTGACACTATTCTTCCCACCAGATCATTATTAAGTCCTATTTGGCGAATAAAAAAATTTAAATCCTACATAAAAAAAGTCATTATGTTTTTATTAAAATTTGAGCACATGAAACCCGAAACCGCCAAACCGGCTTATATTAATTTATTTTATGTGTTGATAATTAGATATATACGGAGTAGTACTTACACAAAGATTAGAGTATGTTTAGTTGCTTATTTTATGTAAACCAGTTTTTGCCCGGTGTTTCACTAAGACTCGAATAATCTCGCATGAATTGCAATAAAAATGATTAAATCAATGTCTTATAAATTTTAATGTTTACATCTATATGACTGTGACGTATGTGTACTTGAAATAAGAAGCACCGACCTTATATAAACAATAATTTTGATAGGTATATTCTTATATCCTACCCGAATTTCAAAAATTGACATATCAACAGTTGACCGATCAAATTGAATCAATTACAAAATAAGACAAACTCTTCGAAAGAAACGGGTTGCAATATTACTGGTCAAATAGTACTAGACCAGTTCTAGGATTATTTACTAGATTCGATAAAGTAAAAGGTAAAAACATACAAAATGATCGGTAGGACTGTAGGTGGAACACCCGTAGCCCAATTAATATTAATAATATAGTAAAATGCACAGAAGCTTTTACATGAGAGTTTTAGAGAAAAGAAATTGGACCCCTTCCATTCATGGTTACAACAGTATTTATAATAGGCAAAGTAGACAAGGCGCCGCTTATGACACGTTCTCAGATAGTGTGAGGCGACTACCTCTGTCCTCTAGTTGCCTTGTCACCTAGTGAGGAAGGTGGCTCCCTTGTCACGTACTGCCTTGGACGGATTACTCGAGCATCTCCAATGATTCTCCGTTGATCATGGTCGCTACAATCCAAACCCTTTTGTATTCTTCTTTTGCCGACACTTTCCAACCCTAGAAACCATACCGGGTGGTTTCTAGGGGATGAATTTACTGAAATTGGGAAATGGATGAGGCGAAAAAGTAGTTTGACCGGTATACTATCCGAATTCTAAAGTATAACGGTCAACTTTTTGTTCAACAAAACATCTTTTTACTGACTATTTAGGTATCCCATCCTGAAAAATCAACTTTGACCGGTTGAGTACCTGAACTTCTTCTTTAACCGGTTCTGAGTTGAATACACTCATCAATAAGCCCTTCACTTTTCGACCATGTACGCATGAGTGTTCTCTTTCTTAATCTGGTATTCTCTCCGTCCTATATCTTTCTTCCCGTTGCGCAAAACGAAGAAAAATCCCAAGTTTTTTCAATCTATTTTATTTAAATATTGGTATAGAAATAAAAAATAAAACATACATGCATATTTAAAAACTACATCAAAAGTTCAACAAAACAAATGGTGACAAAAATATTTTATTTTATCATATAGGCCATGAAAAAACACAAATAAATATAAGGACGGAGAGAGTACTAACTATGGTTCATCTTTTAACCACACATCATATATTACCATAGGTTAGTATTTTTTTTACTCTGCATCAATACTAATTATAGATAGAAGCCAGCAAAAACAATGTAGTGGGAACATACTGTGACCACACTATTTGATGTCTTTTACTCCGTATATGCATTTTTTTTGAATTAATAGCTTGGAATTAGTTCTTTATATAGGAAAACATCTAATACTAATTCATTTTTTGAATTAATAACTATGGAATTAATTTTTTGAATTAATAGCTTGAAATTAGTTCTTTAGATAGAAAAACTAGCTTGTTTAGAGACCAATACAACAATTCAGTGAGTGTTTATTAGTTGCTTGCATTGTCAAATCACAAATCACATAATACCCTAGGTGTGTGTCTATGTTTTTTAATAATATTTTTGACTATTTGTCTACTTTTGACTTTTTTGTCAAAATTGGTAAATTTTGACATCAAATTAAATAAAAATGATATTAGATATTAATATAAAAAAGTTTTATTAGATTTATTATATCAATTATTTTTAAAATATTATTTTATTTAATTAAAATACAATATAAATTTTATTTGATTATAAGTTAAAGACTGAAAATAGTTGACTAAAAAAAGTCAAAACTGGACAAATACTCAGGAACGACAGAGGTAGTATATCTAAATGACCACTAAACATGCTAGTCAAAATTGCGAGCCGGATCGTACGATTTTACGATTGCGTTTATCACCAGGGTGTTTCCGAACTAACTGGTGCTCTTAGAATCGCAAGGATCGATGGTTTGAATCCTAAAATCACAATCGAGTGAGATCGCCAACATGAATCCACAACCGGAAATGTAAACGATTTGTTTTGTGCCGTCGCTTTTTACTCGACCTTTCATAACGTTTCTTCCCAAATCCCTGTATTAATATGGCGCTTCTCTCATAGACCCACACAAATATGCTCAAATCATCTTCCTGCAAATGTACTCCATCCGTCCCAAAAAGATCGTTACGTTTCATTTCTTTGCGCATCCCTTAAACTATTTTTATATCGTCTCAAATGCCAAAAAACTTTCAAAACAATTTCATCTTATAATAAAGAGTAAATATGGTAAATTTTAGAAATTTTAGATGTGAGTAGCATTGCTTTTTGTGATCCGCAAAGAAATGAAACGTAACGATCTTTTTGGGACGGAGGGAGTATCACTTTTGCACATGTATTATTTCAAGCTTTTTAATTATATATAAGGTTTTTTTTCCTTTTAAGTTTCACTCTATTTTTGTTAAGTTTCTTTTTTTTAAAAAAAAATCTATCACCTTTAAGTTTTTTAGCTACAGACAGTGATTTCTTTATTTGGTTTTTTTCCTTTTAAGGTTCACTCTATTTTTGTTAAGTTTTTTTTATAAAAAAAATCCATCGCCTTTAAATTTTTTACCTACTGACAGTTATTTCTTTAGTTGGTTTTTTCCCTTTTAAGTTTCTCTTTTTTTGTTAATTTTTTTTTAAAGCTATCACCTTTAAATTTTTTACCTACTGACCGTGATTGCTTTAGTTGGTGCAGTTCCTTTTTAGCGAACACACACACATATGGGCCGGTTTCTGTGAGAATCACTCTTGGTGAAAGAAATGAGAATGAATCACATTCCTTAGATCTATTGCATCCTACGATCATGATTAGCTCATTACAAAAAATAATAACTCCTAATAATTATGGTAGGTAATAAATATGAAACGAGAAATGGGATATTGAATTATTGGAGGGGCAATTTGGTGAAGTACTATTGCAATGATTCGTTAATTTATTCATCATCTACTTATTACACACATGCCTTTCCATATACAATACTCCCTAATTTAAAAGTGCATTAATTACCTTTGGTTATAATTCATTTAAAATTTTCTTTATTAATTACTTCGTAAAACATAATCTGCTGAGTTAATTAGTTTCTTTATCAATTTATTTTGTTGAATACATTTTTCTTGACTATACCGTGGTGCATAAGTACAGTGACATAATGCATATATATTTCTAAAAGGGTCATCTATGCAGTAATTTTTTATGGCATCCATTTGATAAAAAATTATCTATGTAGTAATGCTTAATGGCATCTATGTTTCACTTAGTTCTACATTCATCCCAAAACAATTTGAAGGTGATCATAGAATTTTTTAGAATTTTATTCTAAAAAATTCTATGGTCGAAATTGATTACGGAATGCATTACATTGATCTTAGAATGCATTACTTTGATCTTGGAATGCATTCTGATAATGTAGAGTAATAAAAAATATACATTTCTTGATTAAGCTCTAATAACAAATCTCAGAATTGAAGACCTTGCTCTCTAGTCATACACATGAATGCCCAACTCTACACATGTCAAAGATGCATCCTCAAAATATAATAAATTATAAGCTACTAATTTAAACGTAATTGAGAAATGACTCAAAGTAAGTTAAAGATGCATTTGAGAAATAATTTGTCTATGCAGGATTCGAACCAACATCTGTAGTATATACTGCTCT